CAGTTTGTGCCCGTTGCCCCTTGTCCTGTCGCTGGGCACCACTGGAAAGAGTCTGGCCCCGTCCTCCTGACACCCACCCTGCAGATATTTAGAGGCATTTCTAAGGTCCCCTCTCAGCCTTCTCTTCTCCAGGCTGAACAAGCCCAGCTCCCTCAGCCTTTTTTCATAGGACAGATGCTCCAGTAACACTTCAGAAGATAATCCATCAGCAATCACAAGATCACTTGAGTGGGTGCTTAGTCACACGGGGTAACTGTTCCGGATCCAATTTCTTACCCTAGTGAGGACAGCTCATCGTCTCGGCATCTCCCTGCCATCCACAGAAAGGTTGGAGAGCAAGCGCTCAACTGGGAGACTCTGCTGGTGAGCAAGATGGTGAGCTGTTTCGGTCTACACAAAGCAGCATCTGGCCTCAAGGCGTTTAGAAATGATCTGTTTTGACTAGCGCGTCTTCTGCGACAGGCTATCATGTCACCTTCTGGCACCGACAGAAGATGCGAACAATATGAAATGTCGCGTTGGGCTAAAGACGCAAAAAACGTCGCAGAAATGCAAAAGATGTTGGCTTCCTCAAAGTGGCGTTTTCTGTCAGAAAAACGCTTCAAGCAAAAAGCGTCTGAATGCAGCTGATCTGGAGAGCGAGGGTATATTTCTTTTTAAAACCAAAAGGGGAAGCATTTTGAGGACTGTAGCAGGAGTTACGTTGGTCCAGAGGTAGAGACTGACCCAGTCAGTCCAGTTGTTATCTTTAGGCTTTACAGCTTCCGTCTCAAATTCTAGCCATCACAAAAAAGGTACAAATCCATCTTTTTGGTGCAGCCAAAACCTTCACGCGTAGCTGCCAATAGCCTAATGGTTGAAGAGGAGCTACGGAGTTTGACTTTACAGGAACCTGACTGACTTTGGATTTGGTCTGTATCATCGCTCTGTGAGTTCTGATCTGTTGTGCTTGGAAAAAAGTCACAGAATCACAGAATGGTTGGGGTTGGAAGGGACCTCTGTGGATCATCTAGTCCAACCCCTGCCCAAG